AAAGCTTGCAAGCAATAGTTTGGGTGTTTGAAGATCAGTGAAGGAATAGTGACGAGAAATGAAAAGGAGAATTATCCATCAGTATGCAAGAACACGTGCTGTTTAAACACTATCTATTTGTTTCCATACAGACGAGTCGCAGAGAATTACTGGGCATTTTCGCCGGGATGATTAAATGGACCACTCAGTGCGACGTGGACGACCTAACCACTGAGACCAATACTGAGGACGATGTTGATGGTGCAACGGTGGCCTTGACGGTTCGCGGGCGCCGTGCAAACGATGTGGATTGCTTTGCCACATTTACCGACGAGTGGCTCTACTCCGGACACGGTATTACGGAAGGTACAGATTGGGTTAATTGGGCTACAGGAACCTCTCAGAAAGCTCACCCAGCAGCCCAAACAGCCCGCATATGTATCGGACTACCTCGTTATCCGTCCCATTGGGTGTTTCCGGGCCAGGAATGGGAGCTGTGGGCAACCTGGCCGGAAACGCAGGCCTCAATCCTTGCTCCAGTCGTTCGCTCCGGGTCGGTGCTTAGCCACTTCCATGCCTCAGGAAAATTCAATGCAGCTACCAATGGAAATTGGCTTTACAGTACGTTTACATATGTTTGTGTTTAGATTACACTCACCAACAGGTCAACTACAACCCAAACCGCTGCACGAATAGGCATGGCCAATGGTTGCATAAACCAATAGGCTTTGACTACTGTTTGATACCGGATTTATTTATTTTCATCGTCATTTGTTCGATTTCGGTCTTCCTTCCTTTCCGTCGATTCTCTCCTCTATCCGTATTTTTTTTAATCCGTAGGCTATGTGCTTAAGGGCCGTCCAGTTTCCCTATGCACCGGATTGTTGCATGTTTTACTGGCTGCATTAGATCACCCATCGCCAAATTTGGCTCACTGGTTGCTGGGATTTCGCCTGGAAAGTGCTCAGGCCGTGGCTCGTACAACACTGCAGGTAGGTTGGATTTCTCTCGTGACATGTCCAAGTTCCTCCTTATTTGTATGCACACTGTTCACTTGTCTGAGTTCGGTCTATGTGTTACTTAAGTTATGGTGCAACCAATTTTGATAACCAAACCAGTTAATGGTTTGCTGAAGGATGAAATACTACCAAGTTGCTAAATCCAAAGCAGGCCATTTTTCAGGGGGAATTCACAACTTTAACCAATACCTGACTCCTAAGGCAGACCATAATCCACATATTCCGGATGTTCAGTCTGACTGTGTTTTTGATATCTTCCCAGTACAACCCATTTGTGAATAAGTCGGTTCGCCGCCGTGACCAGGATTTTCTGGAGCCTCTTCACAAACCTCCTCATGGTAAGTTTGGAATTAGAGTTTTCCGGCTTATCTAGCTGCAACCTAGTTGCCCGTGGCTACACCTCCAGTCGTTGATTTTCCACCAACTCACTTTGATAGAAACACCCTCACTTGGAGAAGGTAGTCCTTGGAATCCCCCAAAAGATGCTTTAGGGATCATACTATTTGAGAGCATTTCCAGAGATACTCCCAGATTCTCGTCCACCTTTTGAGGACCAAGTTTCCGGTTCTCAAAACCGAGCAGTATTCGTGACTGTACAGTTCACCCCTTTCTACCGTTCGTCACGCAATGGTGTGTAGTAAAACATACTTCTAGGTATGGCTCTTAAAGGGAAATTTCCTCAGAATATCAATGCTGAGCTATTCCTCGCATACCGCTTACTAGGTTTTCGCTCAGTTCTACTGTACGTGCCATTGTGTTTCTTATTCACAGACGATCGCAATTTCCCATCGGTTTCCTTAAACCTGTATCTGTTGGTTTTTTCCGCCTCACTTTCCTGATTTGTTCCAAAAGGATGCCGGTATTGGTGATCAGCCCCGAACTTGTCTACACGCCATGCTTGATGTGGTTGACATGACTACACGTTCCGATTGTTTCCTCAGTCATGGCTCGGCTGAACCTACTCACTTCATGCTGACCGTGCACTGGAATCTGACCCTTATATGGCAAATACTTCATCGCTTGAGCGCCAACCCGTTATCTTCCGAATCGTTGCTTCGATTTCTTCGCAGTAATCACGATTTGCTTGCAAAACATGTGCAACTCAATCTGATCGCCGGATCTGTCGAGCCCCAGGCAATGATGAAACCGGAAATAAAAGCATCCGCCACGGGATGCCGTCTATCTAACCGAGCATGTAAGCCCCAATCTCCTTGTTGTGCTATTCTGTTGACCTTGGTGGCAGTGGCGCAGTGGTTTAGTCGCTGTCACCGGCGTGCTTTGAACCCTATGGTCCGAGGTTCGAGCCCCGCCACCGCCACCTGACTTTGGTGGTAGGTAGCTCTGCTGTCGTCCGGTTCAATACCACACCCAACCTATCGGGGCCTTATGTGGTTCGCCACTCCAAGTCTCGAGGCTTAGGTTACCGGTTTCCACCGCAGAACAGCAGCTCATCGTCACTATGGGGTTCGCCCCGTCTGTTGTTCATCACACTCTTGGGTGTGGGAAAAAATGTTCCGCTATTCACTGCGTGATGACAACTGCAACGGGCAGGGGGGGGGTATTCACCTAAATGAACGTTCGTAGGGAACAGGAGAAAGTTTGCCGACCGAGCTGTCCGCATAAGGCTGCTGTAAGCTTGCAAGACCAACGTGTGTTTTCTTTGAACATGGACCAGTCTAAAAATAGGTAGTCGAGCGCATCGAAGGTTTTCCATTTTTCATGGTTTAATAGATCCTTTCTTCGTGTTATGCGAGTTGTTCGTGTTATATGATGGTCATCAAATGCAGTTAACATTTATTCTCGGCTGCTGTCAGGTTGTTCCCGTTTGACGGTAGCAGCCAAGGTGTAGAGGACACAAGCCTATCGTACAGGAGGACAGGATACCCTCGGGTTAAGGAGAGCTGAATGCTACCAGGCGCATCCCCGAGTTGTGGATAGGGCGATACCTTCACCGAAGAAGGTCAGCTGTGAATAAGTTGTGGCACACCGCAACAAATAAGCAGTCGCGAACGAACAGCGGCGGCACTACCAGGGTGTGGTGGGTTTCAGGCTGGTCTTCTGGCTCCTGTTTAAAAGCCGCATAAGTCCCGTGACGNAGGTCGATGTGGCTGACCTTTTAAAACTAAAGTCGTTGACCCCCCTCACTTCCGAGATGAGGGACTCCTTCCCGTTGCCTTGCAGTTCGCAATTAGTTGTGTAAAGGCTAGAAGTGCGCCCTTAAAAAAATACGCCGACTGACGCTGGGGACGTCTCTCGTACCAAACTCCCAAGGAACTTCATGATCATGTCTGGAGCCGACTTATCCTTTCCAAGGATCCACCCACAGTAAATTAAGTACGCATTCAAATCACGCAA